GATTATAGTGTTAATAAAAGGAATTAAATTAGTGTGGTGCAAGGTATTAGTGGGAAAGTCTTGTGCTAAGGGGAAGTGCTAAACAACTCGGTGTAGGGAGGAAGGGGGAGTGGTTAGACTGGAAGTGAGAGGAGAAGGGAATGGGAAGGGACGGAGGAGTGGGAGGAAATGTTGAGCAAGAGCGAAAAGGGCGATGCAGCAGAAGCTTCGGCATAAGGAGAAGGTCTGCTGCAGCAAGCGTGTCCTCAGAAGCCCCTCCTAGATCTCAGTGGTGCCACCACGCAGGCACGAACCACAAGTCTTAACACAAACGCACTCAATGATGGCTACAGAGCCGGATTATCTCTGTCTCCATTCAGACAGTTGAAAGAGCCAACAGAAGTAGTATTGGAGATGACAAATTATAATTGAGATTTTTAACTATTTTCTGAAATTTTATAGACTAAACAATGAGGCATAAATTGCAAAAATAAGTCAGGTTAATTGATAATGAAAATGCTCGTTATTTGCGGCCCTAAAATGCATTTCAGTCTCAGATGTGGCCAGAATTAGTATAAGATATGGTCCTAGGTTCCTCGTATTCCATTAATATCATACTTATTTCCATTGTGTCTTGCTGTATAGTGTTGTTGTGTATGTCAAAACGCATTTACAGTGTGCCCCATAAAAAGCATTAACAATCACCCCAAGGCCTACTTATTTTAATTTTAATCTAAAAAAAAAACTACTTCTCACCAACTTATGATTGGATATGAAACAACATTATGTTGATAATCATTCCAGTATATTGCATACTGGCATCCACCCACAGAAACACACAATGTGATACTCCACCCTAATGTTCAGTGGTGACTCGTGCAAAATGAGTGTCATCGGTTTTATAGCAGGGCTGACTCATAAGGGCTGAGCACATCTAAGCAGCTTTTTTTTTTTTATTTTCACAAATAAATAACAGCATTACAGAAACACACATTAGCAGGTGTCACTCTAGTTGGAGCTGTGTTGATGTGTGTAGCATTAACCTTATTGATAAGACCCTCTTTTGGCGAAAGCCGCACATTCCTTCAACGCACACAAACAAATCAGTTTTCTCTACAAGTTGTGTGCTTTTGTTTATGTTGTGTAAACTGTTATCCAACTTATAGAACCAGTAACACTAAGGTGAATCCAGCTGAGTAATGGGCAATGACATGAACCAGGAAGGACGATAAGAGCTGGGAGTGACAAAGCAGTTCATTGTCTGCCCGTCAAAGATAAATAAACACACATTATGAAACCACATACAGAGAAATGATCCTTCAGGTTTCCACCCACTGTTGTAAAGTGATTTTACATCTGAAAAAAAGAGAGCACTGGTATCAGATTGGGAATCGGTATTCACTGATACTAATGGAATTGATCTCGACAGCGAAATCAGATGAGTTGATTGCTCGACTCTCTATCGATGAGCTGACTGCACAATAGAATGAGTTTAGCTCACTTCAGAGTTCATCTCAGTGTTTTACCATGTGAGAACAGCCCTCATGTACCATGATAGAGGGGAGCTCAGCCCAGCAAAGTCTGTTTAAACAGTCTGTAGCTTAGTCACCTTAACACCTTACATCTTCATTACAGTAGTTCAAATGGTATAAATATTCAAATAAGAGATGTTTTTCAGTTGCAATGTACTTCTAGATACTGATCCTGAAATGATTCACAGAACCAAAACCTCACATTGAAAATTCTCCTCAGTGCTTACCATTATCACCAACATCATCCACCTCTCTGTTTGAACCCCTCCTCCTCACCTCCCCCACACACATACATATGCTCTCTCTCCCATGCTTCTGCCGTTATTTGTTCAGCCTTATCTCGCCCCTCACCCCTCTCTCCACCATCGTTCCTCTTATCGGAACATGTGCGGAGCAATGGAGTTTATTTTTGTTCTTGTCCGGCACAGCCTGTTCAGCCTGGCCGGTACGGTATCTGCCCAGCCGCTGCCGTTAGGGTGTTGATGCTGGTGCCTGGCAGACAGGTGGTTGGTCTCAATTAGACTGTAACTTACTGTGGGCCCAGCAGAGATGAAGGAGTGAGGAGGACAGGTATAACAGATCGAGACATGCTGTGTCATGCTGTGTAACTGTAAAGAGAAGGAGACTGAAGCAGTGGATATATGGGGAAACCAATTTAAATACTAGCAATGTATGATTAATTTATATCTCCTTTTAATTACAGTGAGTGGTTTAGAAAAAATAACATACGCCTCCTCCTAAATTATGTTCCTGTCTTGTGTAAGGTTTGGTGTAGACATTGTGTAAATGTATGTGCGTGTCTGAGCTGCCTGGTGTGGCATAGTACAGTACATGTTAATTGTGGTTAATTACACTTGTTCAGACCAGTTTGATAAAAGCTATTTGCTTGGAAAGCACACTTCCTTAAATACATGTGCACCCCAAATAATCACTCTCATCAAAGAAGCAAAATATATGTAGTTCGTTCTCATTTTTTAGGTCTCGGATGATCACATAGACCCTGCTGTAGTAATCGCTGTCATGGAAATGAAAGTTGTTTAGAAATATCATGAAGTACTACATTATTTTCCTTTTAATTTAACAGGGATAAAATACTTGAATCTTTATTTTTGTAACAGCACTTAAAAAAAAATTTGAAGTTTTGTAGTTTTGAAACAAGTTGTAAAATGGAGAAATTTTTTTGAGGTCCTGGTCTGCATGAAAGGACAGGTCTTCTTATCTGTTGGATACAGGATCAGCTACAGTTGGTCATATGTGTACTTGTCTGAAGTACCTTTTCCTGCCACAAACTGGTTTGCGAACTCAGCAAGTGTGAGTACCAAGTGATACTGTATGTATATCTTTGTCATAACAGGTGGAAACAGGTGATAGATTATATCTTTGGACCAAAAAAAAAAAAAAAAAAAAAAAAAAAAAAAAAAAAAAAAAAAAAAAAAAAAAAAAAAATCACTCAACCTATATTGAAAGTACACTGCTGAGTTATTTGGTAGACAGACATTTCTCATCGAAACACATCGTACTGTGTACTTAAAGGCTTATAAATGTGTTGACAGCTTTTGCTTGCTCACAAAACATTTGCAAAGTCAATTTGAAACCAAGCAGTCTCTTCCCTTACCTTTTGTCAAAGGACTGCTGCCCCACATTTCCAGGCATGTTAATGCCAACTGCCAGTCAGTGGAATGACGTGTGATAGTCTGCTGGAGGATCACGTTTTTTGTGTGCACGTGTACACCTGTGTCCTCACATCTGCATATAAAAATTGGGATCCACTTATAACAACATTGCTAATGGTCAACACAGGGAAGACATCAGTTCATAAAAATGCAGACACGAAAACCAGTACACTTTTTCTTTTTTTATACAAAATAGCTTCAAAAATTCTTTTTTTATTATTATTTTTTTGTCATTTTGTCTATTTGACAAATTAACTTCTGACACAGCAGCTCTGGCTGTAAATGAGGATGGAGGTGGTAAAGGAGGGCAGTGTGTTCTCTGACTAAAGTCTTCCTGCAGAAAATATACCATCACTTCAATTTTTCTTGCAAACAAAACAAGGGCAGGAACATTTGTCTTAGAAGAAGAGTTCTTTGGGGTTGAGACTTTCACACTGCTAGAGTTCAAATGATAGTCTCAGGCAAGTTAAATCAATACTGCAACAGTGTAGGGCCTGTTCATCATGAATGATAGTGTCCCAGAGCTGAGCAGAACTGATGCACTGACTCCAGTGGTGGAACTTATGCTTTCCGTGCGGAACAATGTAAATCAGGACGGTGACATTATCTTCCTTTGTAGTTACTCTACACGTCGCCTGTTTTCATGACCTAGCATCTTCCTTTGCCAGCAAAGAGTTCTCGTGTTCTGCTGAGACTGAAAAGTCAGTGGAGACTGTGGAAACTATTTACTCCAGCCTGAAACATGAGCATGTTCTTGCGGCTCAGACTGATACTATCAGAGCCTTGTGCACAGCTCATTTTGACCCCGGTACAGGTTTGTCTCCCAGCCTTCAGACTGTTTGCAGTCACGTGGTCTTGTAGTGGCCCTGGAATGTGCATTGACGGAAGAGTTCTCACGCAGGTCTCGGTTTCCTTGGACTCCCCCGCAGTACTCTCCTGCTTTGCAGCCTCCAACACAGACATCAAGTGGGGGAAATACCAGTGCAGGACCATTGTTTGAATGGGGATAATCTGTCTGCAGATCGGTTCATAACCAGGAACAACAGCTGAACTCTGACACATTAATCTGTTTCTCCCTCGTGTGACTGTGTGTTTTGCAAGTTACATATGGAACGCTTTACTGGGATTGAAAATAGTCTAGGGAAACAGTGGTAAAGCCAAATGGCAATAGATGGGCCAGTGAAAGATGGAAGGTAGAATAGAGAGTTACCGAAGATGTGTTTTTCATCTCGCTTAAAGCCTCTAAATGCTAACTGGTCACCTGTAGCAGCTCTTACTGATGATTCACTAATCGCACTGTCCCTTCCTTGCTTTCAGTTAATAAATGGCACAGTGCACTTTTTAAAAACGGCTATTTTATCTGGTACAGAGAATAAATAACTTAAGTCACTGCCATCTCATTCAGCACTTTGTCACTGCCACATCAGGTTTTTGTATGGTCTATGGTGGACACAGACGCACAGTTAATGATCCTGTTTCTTCTGTTTTTAGGCCATGGTTGCCTGTTACCCAGGTAACGGGGCAGGGTACGTTCGCCATGTTGACAACCCTAATGGCGATGGACGCTGTATCACATGTATCTACTATCTTAACAAGAACTGGGATGTCGAGGTACATTTATTTTCAGTGATGATTTTATTTAGAAAATGATTTTGTTAAACATTTGAAAAAACATGAGTACATGTCAGAGTAAATGAGAAAAGAAAACCACACCTCATGTTGACATAGGCTCAAATTTGCATCTTGTGTTATTACTGTACACTAGAACACCATGACCTTTCAATGTGACTGAAAGCTGAGATGCCATTTGTTTGAATTAACATTAAGTAACTTGACCAAACCCTAAATGGTTAGTGGCACAAATAAAATTTCACATGATCAGTCTCAGGGTATTACTATCATACAACAGTTGTGACAGTAGTATGTTGCAAGTAAGAGACTGTGTTGTGTGTATTTGTCTTTGTAGAAACAAGGAGGGTTGCTGCAGATCTACCCTGAAGGCAAAAATGTGGTGGCCAACATCGAACCTCTGTTTGACAGGCTGCTCATCTTCTGGTCTGACCGCAGGAATCCACACGAAGTGAAGCCAGCCTACGCCACTCGGTAAGCATTTCTAGTACTGTGTGTACAGTAAATGCACACATGAATACATATAAAGGTGTGAAATTAGGGAAAGAGACAGGGAACACTGCTAGTATTGCCACGTGTATATTTGGCATTTTTAAATTTCTCATATTTGTACATGCGTAATAGCCACATTTTCATTATTATTATTGTTGTTGTTATCATTAACATTATTTACTTAGGTTTACAGTAAACAATGTTAATGATAATAGAAACACACACAGGAGACAGAGAGGAAACTGTTAGTCCTGTGACACACTGAGCTGACGGTCAGCCGAGGGTGAGCGTCTGTCTGGGCTGGACTTCCTGGTGTGTCCTGCACTGTTGGCACTAGTTGGACAGTCTCCAGCTTTTCAACCAATTCGGCATTTTTTGCTGGCGGTGGACCTCATTAGTGAGAGAGACCGCTCTGACTGGCTGTTCAGTTTGGCGAATCAGTGCATGAGATTCGCTGGCTGTAGTCTGTGCGGTGTGTTCACATGCCACTTTTTCAACCCAACTGGCCCAGACAAAGCCGACATGAGGTGACTTCGTGTGTCTCTTCCTTTACCATGTCAGTCTCGGGCATCGCCTTCCTTTTCTCCTCCTTCCATTCTTTGAGCAACCAAGCTCAGTAACTTTCTCAGTGATGCTTGCTCATACTTTCATATTCAACCAGTTAAAAAGTGCTGGAAAGAAAACTGACTAGACAACTGTACAAAGAAACTGGGATCCACATCTGTTGAAGTTTCCTTGATACCCATATAAAATAAAGCTACCCTGTACATAAACTGGCTGATGTAAACACTTCAGATTTACTTAGATTAGCATCAAATGTTTGCATCCATCACAGATCTGGGTAGAACACATCACACACAGCCCCTTTACTGCTGCATTTCCTCTCCTGTCCTCCTGGCTACCGGGGGGTGAAGTGGGGCCGGAGGCAGGAAATATGTATTTCCTGAGCGGGTCGGTGGGAGGGAGAGGGGAGGAAGGTTCGATTGCAGGACTTTTGCTGGAGAGGCGCAGACATGAGAGACAGGAATAAACAATGCAGCCTCACAGGAGAAACCATAAAAATTAACTCTGTGCTGCCCAGGACGTTTGAACAGTCATCTGTTCATCTTTTTATTAATACATGTATGAAGAGTCGTTGTACGCATTCTGTTGCCTTCATTTCATTTTAAACTGCTGTTTACTGTATAATGTGTCACAAAAAGACATTAGCTCTTGTCCTAGCCTTATTTCAGTCTCTCTCTGTCTTGCAGCTATGCTATCACTGTCTGGTACTTTGATGCCAAACAGAGAGCAGAGGCTAAAGAGAAATACAGACTGGGTAAGTTTTGCACTTGTAGTTCATTTCACTTTCTTTCCTGCCTTTTTTATGCACTGTATCATCACTGCTTATATTCGGAGTTGACTAATGTTTTTTCTCTATTGCTTGTGTCCATAGCAACAGGACAGAAAGGCGTTCAAGTGCCTGTCACTCAAAACAGCAGGACATAAATCTCAACAAATCACTGGAGAGCACTCTGAAAGTATTACGTGCCTTCCTGAATTGCTAATGGACTTTGTGATTATAAAGGGAGACACTGTTAAATTGCCGGTCCTCTCTGCAGCTACATGCCACTCTTACATTGTCAGCTGTCAGAGTCATGTCACGGGGCTGTGATCTGATGTTCTCCCACCATGCGACTGGGCTGCTGATCAAAGATGTGGCATATAGAGCACAGGGGACTGGATTCTGTGGCAATGATAAGATCAGAATTGTGCGATGTGTCAAAAAAAGGAAGAAAGTAACTTTGACAGTCTCACTGAATAATCAATGAAGATAACTGACTGAAAAAAGAAGAAAAAGACTCCTTAATTTTATTTAGTTGCAGTTTTGCCTGTTCAAATATCATTGATGTTGTGATGTACTGAGAAATAATTGTTTCATTCTGCTTTGATGTAATTTTCAAGTCAAACACAAGGAGCATAAATGAATGAGCAGATAGGCAGTTGAAATTCCTTATTTCCCCTGGTGTGTGATGTGGTCCCATTGTCTTACAGTGCGGGCAAGTGTTTATGTCGGTGTAAAGGCAGGTACAGAAAAGAAACATCAAGTAATTGTTGGCCATGATATAGTAGAAAGTTCCCCTGGCTCAAGCACCATCCCTAAACATTACAGGGATGTACTCTCAACTTACGATCAGTGCACGAGGATAACTCCACGCCGTAGTTTTGTATAGCACACTAAGTAGAGTTCAAGAATTATTCCAGAACTTTATTATAGTATCTGTGTAAGAATAAAAATCTTTTGCAGCACCCTCAGAACATTAGTGCAACAGAAACACAGAATGGATGTTTCTTTTTTTTTTTTTTTTTTTTAGTAGTTGCAATGTGTGTAACAGATTTCTAAGACTGAACGTGGAGTACACAAACTTTTTCCTACACGCGATGTGAATGCTTTCTGTTTGACTGATACATGGCTGACACTTGAAACAAGCTGTCCAGTGACAGGGGTCAAAACAGGGTAGATTAAATGGAGTGTGCTTTGTGTGTGTGTGTGTGTGTGTGTGTGTGTTGTGTGTGTGTGCGCGCGTGCGCGCTCATGCCTGTATGCAGATTCATTTAGGCTTTTGTATATTCTTAACAGTATCATCAGTGTGGATGCTGTTCAACAAACCAGCCCCACAAAAAAAACAACACAAACAGAAAAGGTAGATAATAATAATTTAAAAATGGCCATTGTACTAAACAATACTTGGCAGAATGATAACCACAGACAACTTGTTGAATCTATTTTCAGTATAAAGCACAGAGTTAAGCATGTATTGTATGAGAACTGCAGGGTGAAACTCTTGCCTGTTTGAGTGGGACTGAGTATTTGTGTGTAAACGTGTACTTGTCCACTGTCTTGAGGAAGGCTGCAGGTATTGTCTTACTGAATGGTTGAAGGGTAGGTAGCTTTAAAAAGCACTTTATTGTTTCCAATGCCATGCGTGAATGATAGAATAAAATAAAAACAGATGAATGCCTTTATGCTGTTTATAAAATGGCCGATCTAATGCAATAGAAACTAAAAGAGTGAGAATAAATGGAAATTTTGCCTTTTTTAAAATTGGAGTATTTAATTAAAACCTGTCTGTTTTTGAACATATTTTGTGATCGATTTACTGGGAAAGATATTTTTCAGCCATTTTTTTTTCCCCTCGAGGCAGATGAGACCAAGAGAGCAGCACCACACGTTTTCAAAATAAAACAATCGATCTCAGTGCACAGAGATACTATTATAGACAGTACTGTGAATATTGGAAACCACGTATACCAAATCAGTTTTCACTCTTGGTCGTACCGTGAAGAAGAGTACACCAAATCTCTTGGAAAATTAAGGTCTAATTTGAGGACAAAAAGCAAAAACAAGGTGCTAAGTTGTAATTATCAGTTATCAAATGCTGAATTGATGAATAAGTTGGTAAGAGAGAATGCCAGTACAAGCCAAAGTAGGCAGTGCAGTGAACAAGCTTCATATTTATGGTTATCAATAAACGTGCAGTACGTGCACTGTGATGCAGTCCAACGCTCAGAGGAACTTGGTATCATGTTAGCCTTATAGAACCTGGGTATTCTCCAAAGCTGAAACACATGTACTATCTTACCAGTATGTGACTGCAAAATCAGCAAACAGATCAGGTTATATTTGCTCTTATGACTCTTAATGTAAACGGTATATCTAAGAGCTTGTAAAGAGGCTCTGCGTTACTGAGTAAATGATAAAGGTCAGTCCATCAAGCTGAGTGCCACTGACTCCGGAAGGGCTTCTGTAAGTTTACAAAACACCTGCTGTTGTGGTTTTGTCTTCTATTATTCAATGTTTGCTTCCATATGACCCACAGTATCACAGGGCTCCAGACCTATGGACAGAATGCTTCTTATCCTGTGCTACTGGATTAGTAGTATTAACAACGTGCTTTTGGTTTCTCAGGTCTGGCTGGTACTGTACACTAGTGTGTTTTAACTAGTGTGTTTGCTGAGTGGACGGTCATACAGTTAATCACAACAGTAGTCAACAGTATTGTTACAACTTATACTAGGCTGTAATCAAATTTGGCATCGTTTTTACTATTTTCCTTGAACAATGAATGCAGTGGTTTGTTAGCCCCATTTCTCATAGTTACAAAAACAGCGAGAATGAGATCACAGATGACGTGACCAGTTTATTTTGTTTAACACAGACACAAATGTGGGGACACATCCAATGGAAAGAGCCTGTCCCGCTGACCCTTTTAGTAATCATGACAGCGACGCAAAATCATCACGACAGCCAATATAAACGGGTTCATCAAAACATGCTGACACATGCATTGTGTGTACTTACATACATGCTGCATGCATAAATAAACTATCTCCATTCAATAAAATCCCTCTGTCTGGTAGTACTGTCCCACCTTATCACACATCATGTATGCATGCTCACAAGCCAAACAAGTTAACTGTCTGAAACAAATCGGAAATTAGAGCAGCAAGGTCAGACAGCCATACTCGGAGAAAAAGCACCTTGTGCCTCTGGCTGCCTAAACTATGCATTATACGGTATAAGGCACTTTGTCACAGTCCAGGGAGAACATATAAAGCACCTGCAAGCAGGGCTGCAGCCAATGATTGTTTTCAATATAGATTATTTCACAGTTTTTTGTTTGTTTTTAGCTTTTTTTTTTCATTTAAAAAATGTTGCTGTGGATCAAATAATCACTTGGGCTAATGAACTTGTAGCTCTACTGTAATATGCCTCTGCGTTATGCTAGGTTTTAGTTCCTATATTTGTTGTTTGTTCAAAAATAGTCAGCATTTTAAAATATATAATGAAGGTAAGGGGGTTAGAACTGTTTAAAACTGTTTAGTGCCAATACAAAACCCGTGTTTTGGTACCAATAGCTACCAAAACAACGTACAGTACTTTGAGAAAATAAAAGCTTTTGAGCATCTAATAAAATAAAGTTTTCAAATGTTGATTGCTGTCTGAATAATCATCCATACAAGAACTTTACCTGCCTTACATTATCTAGAGCTGTAACAAGGTAACTATTTTGTTACTTAAATAATTGTTTTGGTTATTTAATTTTTTAGCAAAATTGTAGTTTTATTATTTGAGAAGTTAATGTTCTTCTAGATGACTTTCTAGTAATCTGAATATGTTTGGGGTTTGGACTGGTGAATAGACAAAACAATACATTTGACTGTATTGGCCAGACTGGTTTTTAGGAATTATCACAGATATTTTCCACTATTTTCTGACATTTTATGCACAAAGTAATTCATTAACAAATTAAAAAGATGTAATAATGGTTAGCTGCAGCACTAGATCAAACATTTGATGCCGGTACTTGACAGATTTAGAAACTTGTACCACTTTCTTAGAATAACCTCTCCACTGACCTTGCTGAGGTTTTAAATCCAAACCAAAAACATCTCTATTCATTAAAAATGCAACTATTTCAAATTTATTCATTGTTCTGTCTTACTGTATCTTTTCTTCTTCTCGTCTTTTTTGCTATTTCAGTGTTTTTTCTGATGCCGTTTGTTTTTTTTTTTGCTGCTGCTCTACTGTTTGTTGAGACACTCTGGTGTGAAGTTGCATTTTGAAGAAGGTTTGACTGGATTTGATTTAATGTAATAACATTTTAGTATCTGACTGGTGGGGGTGTTTATCTGAAACAAGAGCCCACCTGGCAGCAGAGCTTTAGACAGCTTCATGGCAAATTTGCTGTGGTCTTCCCCCACCTTGTGTTTTTTGTCCTTCATAGCAGTTTGCCACTAAATCTTCCAGCAGTGCCATGTGTGGCCACCAGAGGTCAGCATCGAATAGGAAAACCCTTCACCTCTGTGTGAATGGTAGCCTGCTGTTTATGAACTCTGGCTTAATAACACTTCGCCTCATTTTTTCCAGTTTTTTTCTGGACTGTACACATTGTGCTGGAACACACACATGTTTTTATCTCGTGGGGATTTTATATTGACTTATAGTAATGTCCTTGAGTTGTACCCTACCCATAACCTTAAATGCTACTCATCTGACCCTATCCCTTCCCCCAGTTGTCAGCAAGTTCAACCAAGTTGTCACTCTAAAATTGAATGATTTGCATGATGGGGAACAGGATGACTGAATCCCCACAGTGTGAGTGTGTAAACCAGTTTCAGTCGCCACATTGTGAGTAAAACCAGGTGCACACATTTGCAGAAGTGAAAACACAACCAGCATGTGAGATGTTAGCATGTGCACTCAAAGCATGCATACATGCATAATGGAAACGATTTGCAAAACTGATATTTTGGACTCCATACCTTTTTACATCTTGTCTCGTGTCAACAAACACGACAAATTAATTATGAAAACTTGAGCAATGACAGCCAGAAAAAGACATACTAAAACTCACAAAAAGAATAATAATTTGCGGGAAAATAGAGTGTGTGAATACTGGAACATTTGTAAATTTAATCATTAGTTAAAATTACACCGCTTAAATTAAAGCAGTGGTGAATGAAAAGAAGACATTTTGAAGCTTACATAAAACTAAGAAAAACATGGATTTGTATGAACAAAAAACTGCTGCAATACAAACCCTGCATTAGCAAATGGAATTTCAAACAGAGTGACAGGCGACAGGCGTGCACATTGAGCCAACAGTCGACCTCACTGAGGTGAATGTGGTATTTTTTATTTGCATCTTCAGTGGCAGCTACAATGATGCAATCCTTCCAAACTATTACCCATAGCTACATGTGAACATGTGAACATGTTATGTAATGTGCAAATGGGTGTGCAAATAATGACTGTTGGCTCAATGTGTACGCCTGTCGCCTGTCACTCTGTTTGAAATTCCATTTGCTAATGCAGGGTTTGTATTGCAGCAGTTTTTTGTTCATACAAATCCATGTTTTTCTTAGTTTTATGTAAGCTTCAAAATGTCTTCTTTTCATTCACCACTGCTTTAATTTAAGCGGTGTAATTTTAACTAATGATTAAATTTACAAATGTTCCAGTATTCACACACTCTATTTTCCCGCAAATTATTATTCTTTTTGTGAGTTTTAGTATGTCTTTTTCTGGCTGTCATTGCTCAAGTTTTCATAATTAATTTGTTCATTTGACTCATTCATTTCCTTATTTTGAAGGAAAATGTTTTTCTAAATTCACTGTGATTCTTTCTCCTTGACTCAGTGTAACAGGATCCAGATATTGGAACCAAGGTGTAAAAACTGGCTCACTGTTAGAGTTTTGTCCTGAAAAATGAAGGTACTAATTTTGAGCTGAGATCAACATTCTGATGCTCAGAGATGAGCATGAAAGAAGCAGTCCAGCTGCTGCTGTAGAAGAACCGACCTTGCTCATGAGTTATAATGCGAGTCAGGTGAATAGACTTAATACATTTTTTGTAGTTGTGTGTACGTCATGTTCGACAAAGGCCCTCTGGCAGTGACAAACTCATCAGCAAAGACGCAAACAGGTGTTATTTTCATGCCATGTTTAGCTAATTATCCTGTGTACAGTGTTTTGCCTCCCTTCTGGTGTGATACCTACAGTTGCTCTGGACTGCAGCGATGATCTAGAGACTGATAACGTGCTCACATGCCTTTTCTTTTATGTAGTAAATGACATCCAGCAGTTCACCTGGTAGGTTTTAAAGAGCTATTTGTGAAAAAAAGATGGGAAATCACTGAAAGGGTGGTGAGAAGATTGGTATGGGATGGAAAGGTAACAATTTATTTGGGAAGTAGGCTAGTTTTCAAAGCATACTGATGATGCTTCAGTAAAACTTTTGTATCATATTTTTATGGTGAGAGATTCAGAAAGAGACGGTGAGAAAGAGAAGTGTTCAGTACAGAAATGCACTGTGAATATGCACCAAACAAAACAGGAGTTCTGATGGTTTTCTCTGACGGTAGAAACTGTAAAGGTTTTGTTTTTCTGTCTGTGTTGCTGTGTGTGATTGATTTTGAATGATGAGTGGGCACATGGGATTTTTATTTTTATTGAGGAAATAGCAGCCATATCAAAACATATCGAAGACATAAACAGCAGGGATGTTATTCTACAGCACCTTCTGGCTGTGCTCATATGGATGTCAGGCAAACACTGATTTTCATCATGTGCAGTAAACAAATAGCTTTGTTCTCCTGCCATCTTCCCCCTCCCTCCTCTGCCACTGTAATTAAGTGTAGGCTGATTCACATAAAAACAAATGCGAAATTTGACAATATATTGTAAATATATATTTTTAGACTGTTTTAAGCACATCATTCAAACATTCACAGTGTAGGATGGAAAAGTATATGACAGTTAATGCGAGTCAGGAGTTAGAAGGTTGCGCCAGCTAAGATGACCCAAAAGGCACAATGCAGAATGCTCATTATAAGGTTAAAAGAAGAAGAAGATGTCCACAGTGACCTTTGCTGATGAGCTGAGAAACACATTCACATTTAGATATCTGACCTTTATGAAAAGGAACACTTCTCCGCTGTCCCTCTCCTTGCCAAGCTATGTGTACACAGAGAATACAGAGAAATGAGTCAAAATACTTCATGGTAGCACAAATCTGTTTCAAAACACAATAGATTGGTAGACAGACGATAGAGCGGCAGGCAACCTATTTCATTCCTTCCTCTTTTTTTGAGTTTGTGGGGCTTGTATAACCATGGGGTATTTTGTGTCATTCATTTTTCTCAGCTCATCAGCAAAGGTCCAGTGTGGATGCTTATTGTGGCTCCCCCCACCACTAGCGGGCCAAATGTATCCCTCCCCTACAATTATAAATAACCATATTATTGTATATGTTCAACAAAACATGTGTTGAGAATTCTTGCCGTAATTATTCTCTAGCAGTTGTGTTTGAATGACACTGTGGCCTTTCAAGGTGCACTGCAGTGGAAAACAAGTAGACTTCTTCTCAGCTCCATGCAGGGCTTCCTTTCCCAGCCATGGAAATAATACAAATATAGCATTACAGTATATAACACCACAGATCTCAGTGTATATATAAATGACAGCAAGAGTGCAGTTGATTTAATTTGTTCTTCCTGGTTTCAAATCCAATAAACGTACTAAGGTAGGCTGGAGCTTTGCAGTAGTTTAATCTTGAGAAAATAAAAGGCACCGGCGGCCTCTGTGCTCATGAAAGGATTTCCATACATTTTAACTATGCATAATGTGCAGATCAAAATTCAAATTAACCTCTACGATCACACCAAGGTGCTGCTGCTTTGGTGTAGGCCCGGACCGAAACCTTATTCAGAAAGCAAATAAAAGTCCTGTTAACAATTCAAACCTCAGTGTTGTCAGTGTGGAACCAAACCATACATGCACAGAAGAGAAACGGTCGAAATCAGAATGTTGGACAAAAAGGTGAAGCTGAATGTTCTGGCA